GGGGATTTACCCCCAAATGAGGCACAGGTAGATATTGTGGGCATCTTTCACATTGTTTAACAATTTGACGAGCAGTTTCTCTGGTCAGCTTAAATCGTTTTCTTAAACTTAAGATGTTTTGATGGTGCAAAGCCTGTGACTGCTGTGCAAGTTCAACCTGAGATATAGCAATTATTTTTGTAAGTTTGTCAGCTAGAGCATCACCTTCAGCTAATGGACCAGGAAGACTTGAATGTGCTCTGATATGTCCCACAAAACATGGTACCTTTCTACATTGTATGGCTTCCTGAATCTGCTGAAACAATATCTTAACTTGTTCATTGTTAGTTCCTATATATGACACAGTTTCCAAGATTTGCAATGCCTCATAAGTATACTGGCTATCAGTATATAGATTAAAAGCCTTATTAGCAAAATTCTTAAATATCAGAGCTACAGCCCGCAGCTCAACTATTTGAGCTGAGGCTGGTTCAGTCTGTACCACGTGTCCTTCGCCATTGACTACATAAACAGCTTTTCCATTAGAGGAGCCATCAGTGAAAATCAACAAAGCATCCTTTAAGGGATTCTTTGCTACTATTTTAGGAAAAATGAATGAATGCTGTTGCGTAAACTGTAGTAACTGGTCAGCTGGGAAAAGATTGTTAATCTGACCTTGAAACTGAGCAAATGCAATTGCCCATGAATCACTATTTTGAAATAACCATTCAATTTGCTGCTTAGTGTAAGGAACATTGATTACAGCTGGCTCTTTGCCAAAATATTTCCTAGATTCCATTCTGCTTTTCTGTGCTAAGCATGCTACTGCTTCAAAATAAGGATTGAATACTTTTACTGGTGATACAGGCAAATGTAGCCACAGCAGTGATCCATTCTGCCATAAGACTGCTGTAGGAGCCAGTTTTGTAGGTGAAATACATGCCTACCACGTTTTGCTGTAATCAATGTAGCACACCTGCTGTTCCTGTATAGCCTGCTCTATCCGTGAGAAAGTCTGTTTGGCAGCTTCTGAAAGCGGCCTGCTAGAATTTGGATCACTGTCTCCATTAAGTATTTCACTTAGAGGCTCGAGGTCTCCTGTAGGAAACCTTAAATAAGGCCTTAGTCATTGCATATTTCCTAACAACCTTTGAAAGTCATTAAGAGTTTTTAAGTCATCCTTCCTAATTTCTGTCTTCTGAGGCTTAATTTCTTTGGGGTATAACATATGACCTAGATATTGAAAAGGCGGGTGCCTCTGTACTTTCTCAAGAGCAACAATTAACCCTGCATGGCTTAGGCTGTGTTACAACAATCCATCATCAGACGAACCAAATCCGTCTTCTCCTCTCTTTTCTTTTTTAAGATCTCAACATAAAAACAACAATACTTAACCTCATAGAAGAAAATTTTAGAATTAACACTTGAATGCGCTGGTACAACTCTAACACAGCCTCAGTGGCATTGAGAGAAACAATCAATAAGATCTCTTGAACTGAGAAGCTTCTGTATAGCAAGGACATAGTCAACAAGACATAATATCAGGCTATAGAATTGGAAAATCTTCACTAGTCACTAATCCACTTCAAAAACATAAGAACTCCAGAAATTAGTCATTAAAAGAACAGTTAATCCAATAAAAATATATGTTACAGACCTAAACTGAAAACTCTCAATAGATGAACTTAAAATGACTGAAAGACATTCAACGAATGCTCAAATATAACACCCTTAACCATTGGAGAAATGTAAATTAAACAACTCTGAGACTCCATCTTATCCCTGTAAAAATGACCAAGATCAAAACTACTGCTCACAACTTATGCTTAAGAGAAACTCCTCCACCGCTGCTGGAAGTGCAGACTGGAACAGCTGCTTTGGATCCTAGTATGTCGAATTCTCAGAAAAATTAGGCAACAAACTACCTCAAAACTCAGCTATACCTCTTTTTTGCCTATATACAAAAGATGCTCAACCATACCACAAAGACATGTGCTCAACCATGTTCATAGCAGAATCACTTTATCATACACAGAATCTGAAAACAACCCAAATGTATCCTGATAAATGAGATAACCACAAATATCTTAAATATCTTTGAGTAACTCTAATTACACAAATTGAAAATCCTGTATAACAGGAACTTTAAATCTTTGAAGAAATTTAAGCCATCAGACAATGGAAAGATCTCCTAATCTCTTGTAAAGACAGCGCCAATATAGCAAAATTGACAATCTTACTGAAAGCAATCTACAGATTTAAATGCAAATGTCCATTAAAGTTATAACAAAATTCTTCACAGACTTCAAAAAACAATCTTCAACTTTATGAGAAAAGGCAAAAACTCAGGATAGCCTAAACAATCTTAAAATCCTGTACAACCAAGGAACTTCTGAATACATTACAATCTCTGACTTTAAACTTCACTACAGAGCCACAGTGCTGAAATCAATCCACCTTGGATACGAATTCACCTGCCTACAAACAGCAGACTTTTGACAAAGAATCAAAACTGTGAAATGAAAAAGCATTTTAACCTGCTTATCTCAGAGGCTACCTTAATTTAAACCTGTCCCTTTTCCTTCAGTTGAAGCTGCGCTGCATGGCAGGGGGTAGGACACAGGTTCACTTTGTTAGATTGCCTTCCTGAGCTCTGGCGGGCGGATTTTTAACTATCCTTTTTATTTTAACTTGTAAATCATAAAATTAGGAGAATTTCTGAGTCCTCTCCTCTGTTCTATAGACTGTGTGAGGTCAAATGCTCTCCACACTTACTCTTGCTCCTGCTTGCCTTTTACCCGCAGGTGAGTTAGATTAGCTGGCTACTGTGAGCATGTGGCTACTCAATCTCAGTGGTAACTTGGTGATTCTTGGGCCAAAAGTAATTTTTCCGTCACCTTTCCTACTATTTTAGCAAGCAATAAAAGTTGCAATTCTGCGTCTATCACACTTACAGATTCTTAATAACTCTGTCATTGTTTCTGCTCTACTCTCATTTCCTTTAGTTACCAACATATATAACTGAACACTCTTTCCTTATCCCATATTTCTATATTTGCAAGTTTTTACTCCCGATTTAAATTTTGTCCCACTTTTCTAGATTTCTTTAAATTCTGATCTCTACCTCTGAGGGCTTAATACTCACACATCCACTGATTTTTTTCTCGTCTGGTCCCTTCTTCCTTGCTTTTTGGGGTGCGTGGATCAGCCTCACGTTCTCCTCCATCCTTTGTCCAGTCTCCCTCGGGCTTCAGCGGTCAGCATTCATGGTTTCTCTCGTCCTGTCCCTTTCTCGGGCTTCTCATGGATTTTGGCGGTCAGTACCACATTGTCTTTCGTCTCGGAGGTTCAGTAGTCAGCACCACGTTGCTGGGTGCCAAGTCATTCTTGGCTACTTTGAGTCATGAGACCCTATCTTTAAATAAAACAAAACTACATTTGGCTAAGTGTCCCGCCCAGTCTTTCTGGTCCTTGGTCCTAGGGTATGGGAACCCATCTTTCTGCCGATTTATTTGCTCGGTTTTGCATGGGCCGCCTTTCCTGGTCATGGAGACCAAGTGTGTCCATGATGTAACTCTGTAAGAAAAGCTCCTGGGGAGACAACGCTGTAAATCTACTTTCTCTCTTGTTCACTCAGAAGGCACCTTTTCTCAGAGACGCTGTCACTTAGTTCCATAGTTTTACCACTTTCTCAATTCACTTATTTTTCCTATATATAGATGAGTATAGGTAGACAAGTATAGTATTATAGTATTCATATAGAAACTGAGGGACACCAGTCCAATAAACCAGGCTTTGGAATTGGTATGCGGCTGTGCAGTGGCATGATTGGTAACCTTGGCTGAGCTCCAGAGTCAATACTCAAGTGGGCGAAGTTTGAAAGCAGTAACCCGAGGTACCTTCATATGCTAGGCATCCATAAGTAGCTGCAATCAGCCCTGAAGGATCTCCCTCTTTCTTTTATGTAGAGTAATATAAAGATTGTTATAGCTACGATGTGTCTTCTCCATCTTCCTCATGCTGGCTCGTCCGGCATAGTCTGTGCTCTGAAGCCTACAGGGCATGTCTGTCGTGGGCCAGAGCAACCCATATCGAGTTTTCTAACCCATTTCCCAAAATGAAGTTTATGCTTGACTTTGTTGCATGATTCTGGAGACATCATTGAGCAGAGAGATGAGGGCTGCTTCAGTAGGCAAAAGTAACCAAAGCAATAACAACGTATCTATCACCAAGGTTCTGAAGATGTTGCCTGGCTGCCCACAGAGTAACAGAGTGTGAAATCGAAAAACTTTAACACAGCCAGTAACCAACCCACCCTCCAGGTAGTGACTTCCATCTGCAGATGGAAATTGCCGTCTAATTGCCTTTTGAGGCTGCTAGGAGCTAACCTGTGGCTATTGACTTGTGTCTCCATAAGTATGCACATATGCAGTATTTATCCTCTCCCTAACTCGTAGTACTTTGATGTAGTCAGAGAAATTACTGTATGTTTTGTTTATTAAAGACGGATTTTTCTATTTTCCACAAATCTCAGCTGAGTTGCTGTGGGGATGTGGCCACCAGAGGTCCTTGTAGACATCCCTCAGCCACAGTGGGACTGAAGGGTTAAAGGGGTTTCTGGTCTTCTGTAAATAAAAGCGTCTTAATGAAGGCACTATCACCACTACCCAGGGCAGCAAAAACAGCCACTAGCTTATTAATTCTCTTAAGTACAATTTACAAAGTTTTGGATGCAAGCCGTCTTTGGAATTAGGACAGTCTTAGCAGAGCAAATGACACAGGGGGATGAGTGGGGAAATGGGTGGGGGGAGCGAGGCTAACTTGTAGGACAGACACTGAGCCACCTCTCCCTTGGGGCGCAGCCTCCAGCGCTGTCGCAGGGCCTTTCACCAACTTCTCTGGATGTCAGCGATCAGTCATTCTTGAACAGTCCGTGGTGCAGAAGACCCTGCTCTCCACGCATGGTGTCTGCAGTGACCGTCTCTCAATCGCGGTGCCCTGCTTTGCTCAGGAGCCGGACGCACTGCAGAAGGGCCCTGGTTGAATCTGGTGGCTGCAGCCAGGCTCGACCCCAGCCCTGAGGCCCACGCTGCCTGCATTACGCGGGCTCGGGGGCTCCCACCCTGAGGCGGGCTCTGTGCTTGGCTGCTGTGCAGCCGGCGCTGCCCCTCCCCGCCCCCCAATCCCTGGAGACTCCGTGGCTGCCGGAGCTGGAGGTGGAGCCGAGCCCTCGGCCGACGGCAGAGGCGGGAGCAGCGCAGCGGAGGGACCCCCGGCTGTCAGCAAGGCTGCCTGGGGTAAGTAAGGGTCCCTTGCCCGAGTGCGGGCCGGGCGTGGCCGGCTGGTGCGGCTGTGTGGCTGCCCCTTGCCTGCCCGCTCAGATCAGCGACACTGCCCGCTCGGGAGGACAACCCCACGGCTGGTCTCCCAGGGTCGAGGACTCCGCGATCACAGCCGCTGTGGATGGTGCTCGGTGCCTCTACATGGACCGCGAGTGCGGTTCCGTGCGAGCCAGGGTCTCCGGTGCCGCGCCCCGTTGCCAGCGCGGCTTCCCCAGTGCTTTTTGAGTCCGGAGCTACTGGCTAACTATACAGAACCCCTTTGCAAAGTAGCTTTGGCACGTGTTGGCGCCCCTAGTTTGCTGTTCCCGGATTATTTTTTGCTGTGATGGAAAGGGTGGTCCGTGGGCAGCAAGCTTTCCTGCATTGTAGCAGTGTAATGGTGACTCTGGACCCTAGGGTCTCCACTATCTGAGTGTGACCCAGAGAAGTTCTCCTAGGACATCGTCTTGGGGTGCAGTGGGGAATTCTGAAGGCCGGAGGAAAAGGAAGGCTGTGCTGGGCAAAGGCAAAGTTGTTTGTTTCCGTCACACTTCCTGCACCTGTACCCCTGTCGTCAGTGATTTTGAAGTTATAGAGGAAAAGACATTAACAGTACTGTACATGGGCAGACATGGAGCCTCGGTGGATGCTAAAAATGAAACGGTAATGAATAATAGGATGACTGTATTTTGCAAACTCCATTTTTATTCTGATTGCAACGTCTTGGCACAGTTGTCAGTTCAATGTCATCAAAGATAACTAACTACAGTCCCATTTATAAGGAAGTTAAATGTCTAGTAAATCCTCATAGTTCTACGAGGTTTCTTGGATTGTGTTAACACTTTTCATAAAAGAGAGTCCCAATTATTGTGAGCTGCGAGCATTAATAAACTCTGGGGTTTGGCCACATGGAAAGGAATCTTTCAAACGTGGAAATAAAGGCATAAAGACAGAGGGTAACTGGTGCCCTTGGCATAAAAGGTCACCTGAGTTACCAGGAGAATGATTACTCCCATCGAGGGATCATGCGTTGAGCTTCCAGGAAGTGCCAATTCTGGGAAAATGTGAGATGGGCCATATCCAGTATAGGAACTTAATAAATGTATAAACATTTCTTCTATATTGAGCTACCTATTGGGTGTGTCCAAACTGCAGTTTATGGAGGGTAATAGGGTGAATAACAGCTGTTAATGCAGCCCAAGACAAAATCATGAATTTATTTAAAACGCTAAGGGTTTTTGTTTTTGTTTTTGTTTTTTTTGTATGTGTGTGTGATTAAGTTTTTCAATGTGGTGCAATGGTCAAGCTTGGATTTTGCAGATTAGGACACACCTGCTGCCACTACAAATCAAGCAAATTTTCCCCCAGAGACATTGTTTCTTTTTGTTGCTTTGGCAGTCCTGGAGCTCACTCTATAGACCAGGCTAGCCTAGAAATCAAATCTGTCTACCTCTGCTTGGCAAGTGTTCAGATTGCAGGCATGCAACCACCAGATCAGGATCATGCAATACTACGTTCATTTTCTCCATATTTCTGTCTCAGCTCTCATATGTCTAGTTATAAACCATATTAATGAGCTTCAATGAAAATATCCAATTTTTTGATTCATCTGAAGCATTTATCTAATTATTCTTTATCAATAAAAAATCAGGAGTCAGATATCAGGTTACGAGCCTGGAAGGCCAGAGAAGCAGTGGGGCAGCCACCTGTGATGACCTCCTACCTCTTTTGTTCCTCTATCCAAAAAGACCAAGAGCCTCTCTGAGCCCCACCTTACTTTCTCGATCCTCCAAGACTCTATGGTCAATTTTGGTCAGCTAGTGGCTAGCTCTGCCCTCTGTTTCAAAACAAACTTTATTGTCAGAATGTAATCAAGATACCACACAACACTCACCCATTTACATGACTGAGATTATGCTTTGCCATTCCAGAAAGCTGTCATCCAAGAGGCTTGTTCTGCTTTTTAAACACACGACCCTGGGCAAGTCACTTGCTCTTTCCAATACCAGAATTCTAATGTGCAAAATGGTTGCAATCCTCCTCACTTGATAGAGATACTTGTAGAATTAAATAACGTTCCTTCGACGTGCTCAGAACACAGTAGCTCCTTTCCTGAATGCTCTCTCTTGTCTTTCTTAAATACTTTTTAGATATACTTTAGCTCTTAAAATCTTTAGAATTTGTAATTCGTTCTCTTATGCGACCTTTTCCCATCCATCCATCCATACATTCGTGAGGCTGTTGCCCACTGAAGGTCATTGGATGTTTCCCTACTTGTCTGTTTGAACCTAGGAGTTGTCACTGTGGAGGATGCTGGTAGGCACCGCTTCAGGGGTGTCTTTTGGTTGAGAATCCAGTCTTCCTGTTTCCCAGTTCTGTGCTTGATGATGATACCATACTGAAAAGCAGAAACAGTATGCTGTGCATGGCTGCTGTTTCTCCGGCTTCCCTTGTCCCATTCCACTCCATATTGGCAAGCAGTAAGGACTTAAGGGTTTGTTGGTTTGGAATTCACAGTGTAATAAAGTTATTCTTCAGGTCACATCCATCCTTTTGTATTTCTGATGAAAGGATCTTGGGATTGTGAATTACAGCCCTACCATATATTAAGGCTAACAGAGGTCCTAAAGAGGCTGAGATCAGGTAGACTTTATTACCTATTGATTTTGGCCTCATGATAAAGTGGTTTTATAAAACTTGTAAAAGCCGAGGTCTGGCAGTGGCTCCACCACTAGGGGCCTCCTCTGCACACTGGAGCACCCTGCACAGCATTTGTTCCCAGTCTTCTGTCCTTTCAGAGAGCGGAGAATTGAGCTTCCTTCACTAGGAAAGAACACATTTACAAAAACCATTGACAAAGGCCTGAAAATAAATGAAAGCTCCCTTTGATGGATTCAGAGGGGTTTAAAAACGAGTTTAGAGACTGAAATACTGAACTTTTTACTTTATGTATCATAATATTCAAATATGAAATTTAGAAATTAAATACGTGATTCAGATGTAAAATTTTAATGTTCTTTGTGTATATGTGTGTGTATATGTGTAGGTTCACCTGTTTTTGGTGGATATTTTCTTAATCTTTTAATGTACTTAAAGTAGCTTTTTTTCTCCTAAATAGATACTTGTGACACTATGTAAATCTGCTACATAAACATATGTAATGCACTGTAATAATATGAATTGCTTCTCAAAGGGTTTTATATAGCCAGTTGAAGCCCCTCTTCTCTGCATTTGTTTTTCTTTTTGGAGCTGCACTAAATTTTACCCTTAAAATGTTTTGTTGTACCTACTATGCAGCATTAGGCGGTATCTTTCTTTTGTGGAGAAGTTTTGTCTAAAGTTGGGCCTCATTTGGAGCAGGCTGGCCTCAGATCTCCAGTGGCCCTCCACACCTACCTCGCTATGAGCTTTGGAAAGCTCCTTTACTTGTAAATTCTGATTTTAGTGAAGTTAGTCAGGCTTAAGAATATTTGTTGAACATCTTCAAGGTGTGTTTATTTCCTAGACATAACTCATTATTCGGGAGAAGAAACACTGACAGTCTGTGCAAACCGGCCGTATCACCCCAATAGAACCATAGTATTCGCAAATAAATAAGAATAGCTTCAGGTTTCCAGTGCGCTTTAGTTTATTTTGGGAAGCTAAAGAAATTTATTCTACACAGAAAGTCAGCTAAGGTAAAGAAATCCAACACACTGAGTCCCCAAACCTTCCAAAGGGGTTTCTCTTCTTACTTATAGAACCTTTCTGAGTTCAGAAACATTTCAGACATCCAGTTCTGATTTTGGTGTGATTCAAAACGAAAGAAATCTGATTGTTTTTGTTTCTCTATGGAGATCTAGGCTAGTCCATTGCCGAGGAACAAAATAAGAGGACTAACTTTTATCATGAAGGCCACAGATAATTTTTCTTACACCACCCTCCCACTAGGCTGAATTCTTTGGATTGCTTTCAGGGTTCTGGCATATCAAAGCGCTGTGCAGATCCTGTTTGTACAAAGGTATGCTTTGCTAGAACCGGAAGAGATTTTTAACCTCCAGCTAGGGCTGAGCTTGGCACCCCTCAGCCTCTCCTTCCTCTTCCCAAGGCGGAAGCTGAGCCTCAGCCAAAATGACAGACATACAGCTTGCTGCAGAGCTGTGATTTAGATTGGGCAAGAGCCCTGAGCTGACAAAGATTATGGATGCCTGCCGGAGGTTCAGGAAATGAATGGTTCTTTATACCTGGGGGTCATTTATAGGGACCTGGCTTGGGAGGTTCCACCTGTATGGAAATGACAACTGTGAGCTAGGATTTTTTGAGCTTATCACTTAGCACAGGCGGCACAGATGATTTCTGTTGCTTTTTGCCAATGCAAAAACCAAACATTTGGTTATCCTGGGGTCACATCTGCTCCTTTGCTTTATTTTCACGCACCAAAGATGTGTGGAGTTGGCGAAGGGGGAAGCAGGAAGCCCAGGAGGTAGGTGTAAGCTGTCTGTCTAATACTGAACTCTGGGACAGCCTTGAGTTTTGTATTCCCAAGGCATAGATTAATTTAACAATCTTCATCAATGGTTTTGGGAACATCATCTATTCTGTTTCTGAAACAAAGGCCCTGTGGACCCTCAAAAGTGACTTTTTCTTGTCTCTCCTTTGTTAGATACTTAATAAAGTGTTCTTAATAAAGCAATAGACTCCTAGTACAGCTGAAACTGACCTTGAACTTCCTAGCCTCCAGAATGCTGGGATTTCAGGCAAGCTCCACCACAGCTTGTTTAGGGACTTGCTACTAAGTTGGCCAGTACATTTTAGTGGTGCTGCTGTTAGCCCATGAGCTGTCCTTGTAGAACTTAGCTCTGCATGCTTCTTTGATGTGTGATTGACCATCCTGGGCCAGGTTGTTAAGCCTGCTAAACACATAGCTCATTAGAGTTCAGAGACACTTACCTTCCTGCTGGGAAGGGAGTGTTGTCTGGAGAAGTGTTGAGAAGAAT